ATAAGTGTATATGTATAGCCGAGGGCGTGGATTGTTTGAATTCTAGGCCTGAAGTAACGAACAGAAAGCAGCTTCAGGTGCGTAGGTGTGTTGATTTTTGCGAGAGAATAATCTTGCTCTGTTGATAGGCGATAAAGAGGGACCGTTCGTAGTTGTATCTATGTCACTGTATACGGACAAAAAGCAAGAGAAGTGACCACGAAGAATTTTAAAGCTGCAAATGTTGTTCAAGCAAAGGCTAAGATACAAGCGTTAGCACTATGCGAAAAGTTGAATTTGTGTCACCTTCGAAATAGTGTAACTGTTGAGGGATCGCTTGAGAGTTTTTTTCACGACAAAAACTCATAAAAATTGAGTTTTCTTCCGCTCAGTTATTACTGAGAAGTGCACGTGGCCAATTGAGATTTCTAAATTTTTCCAGCGACATTTGTCCGGTTTGAAGGCTTCAGATCCCTTTTTGGTAAATAACTCTGACGAAGTGATTAAATTTTTCCGGAAATTAGGGAGTCCTTCGAAGTCGGTTGTCGCTTTTTTTCGTTGATGCTGAGGAGATGTTTTATTCTATTCATCAGCAAGAAATTTTTAGGGTTGTTAGGGACGCCATCGAGGAGTCGGACCGTTTGAGCTTTCACAGCTCCTCGGGCCTATAGACTGAGAGCTTTTTAGAGTTACTGTATTTTTATCTCGCAAATACATTTGTCTATTTTAACGATCAGTTTTTTTTATAAAAATGGAGGGAGGGGGTTTGTGTTGGGTTGAGTATAGCTCCGATTTAAATACATTGTTTTAGCTGATTGTGACAGACGCATTGCAGCGCACCGGGCTTCTGTAGCAGTAATTTTTAGAAATGCTGATGATTGTCTGGTGAAGATAAGGGGGTTAGAACTTCTAGCTGGAGAAGATTGTGTCTGAGGTATATTGTCACACACTTCTGGTGAGGCCCCGCCGATCCAACATCGACGTGCGGCAGACTCGCAGGCTTCATCTTTACGCTTCGGCCTACGACGCCTGAAAGGCCTCGAAGTGGCACATTTCGAATTTATTTGCGGGTTGGTCGACCCGTGCGGGGTTGCACGTGTGGTGATGTGTGGGCCTGACCGACGCACTCATAGAGCAGACACAGAGTTTGATTACACATAAACAAGCATTTAATTAAAACAGGGGCAAAGGCAGGAGATTACAAAAATAACAAAAGAGGAAAAACTGATACGCGCGATGGAAAGAACAGCTATATAACAAAATATGCAAAAGAAACACTACAAAAGATACAAACTAAAGACAAATATGCGGAAACATCAATAAAGTAACAAAAAAGATGGAAATCTTAAAAGAGGGTTACAAGGAAATAATTACAGAATGATCATTGGTCACGCGTTTGAATTTCTATGTGCGTCGCAGCGCACACAACTACACAGATTTAAAAGAAAGGCTGGTTAAAACAATTTACCAGTTTAAAAAATCACAATAAAAAGTTCCATACGGACCAGGCCAGCTCTTGGTGCACGTAGGGGAGTTGACGGGTGCCGCTGAAGGTCTCGCCGGCTTGGTAGACGACGAGGGTGCCCCGGAATTGCAGCCGTCTCAATACGTTGCGCGGGTCACTCCATGCTCGCCGCCTACGCGAGACTCGCGACACCGACGACCGCACTTGTTGCTGGCTGTACGTCAACTGCTCTTCCGATGCAGTTCAAACCTCTTCAGCGGCGTCCACGTGCTCCCATCTCATCTGGGAGTAATTTTCCTTGTTGAGACCGCCGGTTCCCCTTCCGGCCAGGGGCAGGGAAGACGAGCCGGCGCCACGCTGGGTCATTATAGTCGCCGGATGTCGCCTCCCGACACAAAAACGCCCTTCCTTGGAAGGTGGGGCCCGCGGATGCTCCGAAAATTGGAGTCGCTTGTGACATATATTGAATGTGTTTACTGCATGCTCAAAAGGTTTGAAGCTTACCTATGAATTGCCGAAAGGGGGGGGGGGGGAGTACACAATTCCTTGATGTGTATTTTGAGCTAGGTGAAGACCACATGTGCTGGATCTACAAACCACGCTAAAAAAAATTCCCAGGTATAATTCGGCCCATTCTAAACAGCCAAAAAAAAAAAGGAGAATCGCTGTTAGCATCTTTAGGGCGGCTCTCGCAAAGTCATGTGAACGCCTTGTTAGGCAAAGTTTGCAACGCCAAGTAGACTGCCTCGAGAGGATGGGCTTTACCAAGGAACTGATCAGCTATGTGGCAGAAGCCCTTCTAAAGGAGGCGAGTACTGGAGGGGGTGTACGTGCAAGGTCCTCTGGCAAGCTAAGGGCGAGGCCTGTAGCCTTACTATTTATCCACTGCTTCTCCCACCGGCTAAAGAGGGTGGCAGCAAAATGCGGTGTGTCGGTGGTATTCTCTGCCTCATGGAAGTTGGCCCGCATGTGCCCGATAGTGAATGGTCGAAAAGGCAATAAACTGCGTGCACAAAAACAAAAGCACGCGACACTGTTCATGCCTTGCGAGGCGGGTGTTGTGTATAAGAACACCCCTTTCATGTGGCGGATGCTACATAGGACAACGCGGGCGCTGTCTTAATGACAAATTGCGAGAGCACTGTTCGGAAGTTGACGCGCAGGTAGCGGGGGGTCACTTGGCGGATCAGTGCCACAGGTATGGTTGTGCTCCTGATTTCGCCAATACACGTGTTCTTGGAAAAAGCAAGAATAAGGCAACGCCAAAGATTATAGAAGTGTTCGCTATTAACGAGAATGAGGGAAAATGTGTCAGTGTGGCATCGGTTGCCTTATCCACAAAATAGATTGAGTATTTGAGAGCAAATCTTACACACACAGCTGGTAACACGTGAAGTGTCAGACATAAGAAAACACCTCAAAGTGTGATTGCGTGCATGCGCTAATGTTGGATGGTTTTTTTACCTTTGCAATAAAAAAAATCAGTTGATGTCTAGCGCACCGTCTTGTTTATGTGTTCCTTTTGTGTCTCCGTTCCTTTCTGTTTTGCGCTACAAATATGAGGGCAAGTGAAAATTGAGCATCACGTGAGGCAGAGCATGCCTGCCTCATTTCGCTTTACCTAAAGATCAGACCAATCCCCAAAAGCACACTGGCCGGCAGACACGACGCCAGAAGACAGATCACGTTGCTTAAGCGAGAAGTACAAACAAGAACTATAATCACGCTCTTCGTAGAAGCCGCCAATCAGGAATACAACACGTACACACCGTGATTGCCGTGGTCGGAGAATTGAAAATCGTAAATGTGCCTTTAAGTAGGGCTGCATTCATCAAGAATGCTGAAGAAATGACCATAGTGCTGGTCATCATGAATCCAATTATACCCATTGCCCGTAGCGATTATAAGAGCGCTATTTTCAGCTTTATGAGTGGATGTACGAAACTAAATATATCAAAGAGCCGGAGAAATTTCAATGAAAAGAACAGACCGAAAAAGAAACTGCATGAGAATAGCAATTTAATTGAGCGAGTTGGTACGGATTCATCTTGATTTTAACAGTGCACCGTAGAAGGAGGACTCGTAAAAAAGTAAGGGCAGAACACTGGCACTGACTCGCAACTGATTTTTATTAGGAAAGAACATGCAAACATCAAGGTGAAAAAATGAACGGAAAACAGATAATCATGAATATCGATGATATCAATGAATATCGGTGATGTGGAATTTCAATACCTAAGCACCATCTGCACATGTTGATATCCATGATTATCTGTTTCCTGTTCATTTTTTCAGCTTTATATTTGCACGTTCTTTCCTAATAAAAGCATTTGCGAGTCAGCGCCCGTGTTGTGCCCTTATTTTTCTTTTAGTCCTTGTTCTTCAGTGCGCTGTTAAAATCAAGACGAAAAACAATCGGGTTTGGGTCCCCGCTCATTCGGGTAACCTTAGTAACGACGAAGCACACAAAGTGGCCCGATAGTTAGCAAACCGGGTCGGGCTTTGTTTGGAACCGGGCTCCCCGACTGGAGAGGCAGTGATCTCTTAGAACGAATTCACTAATATGTGTAAATGTGACAGCAGATTGTACCTTATACCTTAGGTTCTTTACACATGCCTGGATCGTCCTTGCGCTTGAGTGTGCACAATATTTGTTGTTTGATAAGCTTGCTTTGGGTTGTTTCGAGCTCACTATTTATCCATCTTTTTCTTACTGTTCTTTTTTTCTCTGTCCTTTTGCTTTTTATTATTCCCCCTTTTCTTTTTACCAAGTGTAGGGCGACGAACCGAGCCAAAGCTTTGTTAACCTCCCTGCATTCCCTCTCCATTTCTTTCTTTCTCCCTCCTTTTCTTTGACTGTTCATGGACTTTTGTGTCACTTGAAGGGTTTTTCTAAAATAAGTTCAGTTGCGAGTGTAGCGAGTGTCGTGTTCTTGTCCCGTTTGTTTCCGCTCAACTTGCGCTACTTCACTTTATACGGTATGATGATCACTCACTGGCTAGCTCAGCTTTCAACCATATTGTACCTTGTACCACACATCAACTTTACGTGATTACGCAGGCTACTATCCTACGCCGAATTCAAACTAACATGCCGACCCTTCTCACCGCTTAGCGCTTTTCACGGGCAGAGAGGTTAATTCTATATGCAAGGAGCTGTGTTAGAAATGTCATGGCAAACCAAAGTCACATCATCTGGAATGCATGCGAGGGCCTTTCCTTTACTTAGAGAGCTTCTACCAGCTCGCACAGAAGCGATATAGGTGACCTTATTACGATTCCCTTACGAGAAGTTGCAAAAAGCACTCATTGCATGGGCACAAGACGTCGCCGCAGACAAGCGGCTAGCTTCAAATCCCCGAACTTTTTTTTAATAAAGTTGTAGTCTCTTCCTTCAATCTTTAGGTCGGTGATCGGCTATTCGCTCACCGAAATGTTTTCACTGCCTGAAGGTTTTTCTCGACTTTTTCAAGCGTCTGTCATGTTTTCAAAGCATTTGTAAAAGTAGAGCCAGACTGTATCTGTATACTACAAGAAAGAGAGTGTGGTTTTCTTAAAACGTAAAATTTATTAGTAATTAAAAACAGTTTCGCAGTAGTTAAAAATAAGTGTCGGTGTTCCCATTTCGTGCTCTGACACGCCTGGTGACACTGTCGCGGAAGCTTCCTATGTTATATACATAAATGCGGACATTGATCCTGTTGATGTAAACAGATGTCTCTCTTGCTGCACGCGCTGTCCGTCCGCCGCAACACTTTTGCACAACGTCGTTTCTGCACACGTTATCCTCGGGCCTCCATGGCGATCGGCGCGCCACCGAGGACAAGGCTGCTTTCGCTTCGTTGCACGAGCCTGTTCTCGTCAATGTAGTGCGTCTTGCAGAACGCCGCGATCCGGTCGATGGCCTCGAGCATCATCTCTTGCGGCACCGTGAGCACGATGCGGAAGTAGTTCGGATAGTGGAAACACTGCAAAGAAAAGTGTAGGCGTTTGTTAATTACGGGTGGCGATTGAATGACGGGCAAACGTATAGGCGTGCTCAAGGTTCCCCTTCAGGCGGTGGGGCGAAGGCTGATCGCAGTGCCACCCCTTTCCTGTTAAGTTAGTGTAGGCAAGTTAGACCTTGCCCCCACCCACCCCCCTTTAGTTGACTAGGGGGAAGGGGGCACTCACAGTACACACGCCTATGCGGACAATTGTTTGTGGGTTAGCTAGTGATTTCAAGTGCGCAGCAGGGCTGCGATGAATGGCGGAACACATCACGTTAACCTCTATGTACACTTTTTCTTCAGTTGTCGAATGGAAAAACTCTGAGGCAATGGGGTTCGTGCCGAAATTTTCCGTTTCTCTCCTCCACCTCTGAATGCGCCCAAAAGGGAGCGCTGAGCGTGCACCGACTGTTTTGCCATTCTCATTTCTATCGTTGCGATGCAACATTCTTACTACACTGTAGCGCTAAAACTCCGTGCACGCGGGCGCGTCCGCCGCAGATAACGCGGCCGCGGGGGCCCCAGTGGCTCCACTCTGTCTAGGGTGTTACGTGAGAAGCACGATAGCGCCCATTGCCTGGGGGGGTAGTCTAGAGCAAGCTGCCTATCTGAACGACGCCGCAGGGAGGCCTGCCAAATGCCGCCGCCAGAAACTTGTTTCACATCTCTTTCCACGTATTCTTGCTATCTTTGTTTACGCGCGAGGGGTCCGGTGCTTTCTAAAACCGGAGGACCGGACCAGAGTGGCGCTGCCCCGTGACGTACCCGTCCTGGCAGGCAAAAGACCGATTCCTCCGCGAAGAGGGCCTTCACAAATTCGGCGTCGCTGTCGTACTCGGGAAACTTGCTAATCTCGATGCCGACCTGCAAGTCACAGAAGAAGCCATGGGGAGAACGCCGTCGTCAGAACTGAACACCGGCACACTCTCCTTGCGTTGCCACTCACCATTAAGTACATGGCTCCTTGGGGCATGATTGGTCGCATGCCTGGAATCGTTGATAACGCTTTGTACGCAATTTCGGCATTTTTCTGCGAAGAGTAAAAACGTGTGGAGAGGGTGAAGAATGTTAAAAAATGAGAGTAGTGTGACGCAACGGTGCGTTCGAATTGCGTTTAGCTCTTACTTGCACTGCGGAAACAGTCTCGTCGTAAAATTTCTGCGGCGTGTTCTTCAGTATGGAAGGGAGCGCTCCCTGGGAAGCAAGAGGAAAAATGATGGAAGGTCGTTTTCAGTGCATACATCAGGGCAGAACCTATACTAAACGTTCTAGGAAGTATTTGAATTGTTATTTTCGGTATTGCTTTCTTCATAACGACCGTGCATGTGCAGCCTTAGGAATTCCGTTGCGTACCTCCGTGTATAGCATGTCCCTTTCAATTTCCTTTTTTTTTTCGTACTTGTACCCTCATGTTAATTGGATCTGCTTAGCCGCATTAGGTTGTGCTGCTGGCAGTTGCTTAGCAATTATATCGTTGAACGCCTGCAATGAGTTCTTTTCCAGCGCGCTTAATGCTCTGGCTCATCCCTTCTGCGTTTTCTCTTTCAAATCCTCCTAATTTATCAACTATACCGCGACAATATTATATGTCTAATGAGTCTAGAAATCTAGCGTGGTTGGCGTCAACATCTACACTACAAAACGTATTGTCTGGTACTCAAGTGAATAAATGAAGTTAATTACAGTGTATAACAGTTAATTAAAGTGAACTACTCGAATTTCTGTGGTGTAAAAAGGAATAAACTGAAGCAAGACTTAAAGGCGGGCTATTTGGTGATACATTATGGGATAAAAGAGCACTCAAACGAACAGCACGAAAATAGGTGTTAGACAACTCAGCATTTGCGTTGTCTTATACCTACCTTCGTCTCGTCCGTTTGCGCGCTGTTTTTTAATGAATAATAATAATAATAATAATAATAATAATAATAATAATAATAATAATAATAATAATAATAATAATAATAATAATAATAATAATAATAATAATAATAATAATAATAATAATAATGATAATAATAATAATAATAATAATAATAATAATAATAATAATAATAATAATAATAATAATAATAATAATAATGTGTAAAATCCTTTTGTACCTGAATAAGGGCGTTCCCTCCCATTATTTTTTGGCTCAAGGACTGCAGTCCTTGCTTCACCTGTAACGTGGAAGAAGAAAAAAAAAATAACATACACGCTCTAATTACTGGCGCGAAATTTCAAACGTGCGCGTGCGTTCCCGCATGCCCAACCTCATGCGGTCGCCGAATGCTTTTAAAGGGATCGAGCTGGAGTGCTTGATTTTATGCGGCGCACACGTAATTTTTAGGCTGTGCGCGCGAGCACCCCGCCCCACACCAAGTGATGGTACGGTCGATACAACGTTGAGCCCCCCTTGCGCGTATTTGCCGCGTTCGCGAGAAGTGTTAGCCCAGCGCTGCAAGTGCGTCCTCTAGAAAGTTCGACTGTTAGATCGCCACACAGGACCGACAGTACAGAGCGCGCACACTGGAACCGTAGCTACATGTTTAGTGAAAGGAAAGGAGTCGGAGCCTTGCTTTTCACGTTTTAAGCGGGCAGAAATCGGTGAGCAACTCACCAAACTGTGGCGTCAAGTGCAAAAAGTTGCTATCATGGCACCTGTAACAATATGGTTCTGAAAAGGAGAAAGTGCCCTCGTGAGGGGCACAATTGGCTCACCCCACGCGCGAACACGTCGTGTCTATCGTGGATTACGATCCAACCTGTTCGCCAGCCGGGAACCAGGAATCTGCGTCACGACAGAGTTGAGATTCGGCATTCAGTCGAGTTATATGTCACTAGAACAATTACGTGCAGCAAGAAAGAGCGGTTTTGGTAATACTTTCTACGCCGGAGCTCTTACTGCGCGTCACTTAAAATTCGGTTCGTTGTGTAAAATGATTTAATCAGTGACATGCTTAAATTAGGAAAAATATCACTCTGTTTCGTGTGCTCATTCATTCTTCATTCATACGTCGAGTAAATGTACTCTGGCCAGTGAAAACACAGCGGAAACTGTTGGTTCTTAATACCGTGCAGGTATTGCTCATGTGCACCCAATATATTACGCTATTTTCAAGTTGTGTAGTGATGCATGAAACAACACTTTTGTACATATACATTATAAGTATTTGAGATAACTTTATAGAAGGGGAAAAAACAAGCTTAATTTTGTGCCTGTTCATTCTTGTCAGTTCATGAGTATGCTCACTTACTAAGGCACTTATAGGAGCATTGCATTACCTCTTTGTGAGGCCGCTGCAAGACAAAATGGGCACATCTTCACTTAGGGATCCCATTGGGTGGTACTGTTGTCCTTCAAAAACCTATCAAAAAAGAACAAACAAACGTATGTGCGTGAGCGAATGACACAGAGAACTCTGATTGATTTGCAACTTTTGATAACGTTGCGTAAAATAGTTTTTGTTCTTGTTTTTTTATGGGGCCTTGTACTCAAGCGACGATTATTCATGGGTACTCGTTAAAGCGTTCTATGAAGCGAAGCATACTTACGAGCGAAATGGCGTTCATTTTCTTATTTTATCTCTACCATAGAAACCACAAAAAGGGATGGAACCGAACAAAAATACTCAATGAAATGAATGCTCATTTCCACTCTTTCATTTTTTTTTTTCATTAAACGATGAGTGTTGAAAATGCAGACAAAACTGACGTAGCATAAAACTGCGAGCACAAATAGGAAATGATTGAGGACGTGTTCAAAACTAAAGTTAAAAACAAGGAGACAAGATGGCAACGAGACAATGATACGTGCACTGCGGGCAGCATGCGGAATTATCGAAGCTGTATGCAAGAACGCACCGACTTCATCCCAAGCTTCCGTGGTTACTTACAAAGTGCTCGTATATCTCGTCGGCGATGACGGGCACAAAATTCCTCGCGGCCACAGCCAGGATGTCATTGAGATGCTCTTTGGAGTAGACGCTGCCACACGGATTGCTCGGGTTATTCACCACGATCGCTGCCGTGTTGGCGTCGATCTGAGACTCGAGGTGCACGAGGTCAACCGCCCAGCTTTTCTCGGGCTGCGAAAAGTTGCGTGGGATCAACGCTCGACGACGGAAAACAAGGTGCGACCAAGTCACGGAATTGCGCAACGGTGGCGCGTGGAAATTATCTATGAGAAATTCGCCCTTGATGATGCGGTTTATTTACGGGGTGGGCTACTTGAGCTGAACGGTGTTGACCAATTAGGCTTAAGCTTTTGTAATATTTAAGAAAGAGAAGTCCTTCTAGGAGTGCAGGCTTGACTTTTTATTTCTTTTCTGTCACTGGTTCACGCCACTGAGGAAAAGATTCATAGTGCTGCCTCTTCAAAATCTGGGTCTGAAAGTATCAGAATAAGTTGTTTTTTTTTCTCTTGGCGCCTCTACTCTGGGCTACAGTCAGAGGAATGTTTTCTTACCCTTTGACGAATTCACCAGTCAGTCTAAAATGATATTAGGTAAATTCTCCAGTTTCAATATTTCATTACCAATATTTCATACTTAAATTTATTATAATCGTTTAGTATACCTTATACGAGTGAGGAAATGCTGTAAAGAATTCACCTACTACTCAGCCAATCCCCTGCATTGGGTATGTATGAGCCATGATATGAGGAGGAGGCGAAGCCCGCGCTCCTGCGCGCGCAAGAACAACGTTTTTAAACAAAATGATTTTAAAGGGCGACAGTATACTTTAGAAACTTTTTCATTTCACGCTGATGGGTGGTGACGCGTGTGATGCTCAATCAGGAAATAAGAGTGACCTTCATTTTTTTTTTTGCTGTAAATATCCAACGCTTTCGGCCAGATCAATGCCGATAGAGTATTTGAAGAATTTTCCACCAGTGTAAACACATTTCTTCTTTATCTTTGGTGTTGCTTTGAATTGTGCAATGTTGAACACATTGGCACTTTTTAAACTCATTTGTGGGGGGACGCCTTATTCCCACTTTAGAGCACAGCAATTCTGATATAAATAGTTGATACTTTGAAGAAATTGAATATAAAAAAACTTGATGTATTAATTGCTCATAGCGACGTTGCTTATAGCCGCAGTTTCTCTTTTGATCAAGGGTGCATAAGAATAATTTCCGCCACGTGGGCCGTTTTAACGTGTACTGAGTTTTTCATACACGAACATTCCGCGCCTCTCAGAATGTGGTATCAGGGCCGGGAAAGTATATAAGTCTAATAACTAAACTTATTTCTGTCACTTTTGGAGAACATCCTAATGCCTACAGCTGAAGCCAGACAGTAATACAGCCCTATCCGCATTCAGTCATCGGACAGCAGCGATAGTTGAGACATTCGTTCACAAACTCGAGGCGGAATTGACTTTCCCTCTTTCCGCTTCAACTGTGACATTAAGCAATGGGGACCACCCGTGTATTTTAAGGCAAACCTTAGAGTTAAACCATTGCGTGCGCATGAGGGGCCAAGGGGGCGTTCCCCACCTAGTCGCCTAGGAGGCGCAAAGTCTGCCCCACGCATTGACCTAATAAGGAGCGGGGCACTACAACGATTATCAATCAGAAATACTGAACCATTATGGGCCGGTAAATAGAAATGGTATTGTTAGACTTGTCTCTGTGCATGCCCGTATACGTTAAACATCTTAGTGCTGTTTTTGTGTATTCAGGCGTGGTTCGCCGACCTGAATAAATGCAATATTTAGATGGATGATCATGTATCTTACATATAAAATAGAGGAAGTGTTATCAGAAACCTTCATGTTGCTTTCATTCCCTCAACCCCATACCTGCATTTGATTCTGAAAGAGCAAGTACTGATTACTATTGAAAACGTCTCATTTTTCGGTCACTCTTACCAATAAGTTGTAGAACTTGACCTTGATACCAACGGATTCTGCGTGCGTCTTGTAGACGGAAAATCCTGGCCTTGGAATCAGGATGTTTTGTCCGCTGTTTGCGAGGACGGTGACGCACATCTCCAGCGCTTGTGAGCAGCCGCATGTCAGTATGACGTCCTGCGAAACGAATGAGCGGACTTTAGTTAGAGTGACTGCTGCTTCGGAGCCATTTCGGGCCGTTATGTTATAGGGTTTGATGAGTTGGATGAGGATCCATTTTTCACTAGGGCGTATTCAAGCATCAAGATAACGAAACGGGTTAGATGTAGCTGCAGTCTCGAATCTGCTTGGGTAAGAAACAACGTCGCTCATTGTCCGAGTTGGTGTGAATATCGGTTTATATAGCCAGCTCACTCATATTAATTTAATGTTTCGTTTTTATGAGCCGCCTTCTTTTTTTAATTATTGCCTAACTACATGAGTCAAGTAAAAGGGAATAGTTTGGTTTCCTGGACAAAGTCCAGGAGTAGTTCATGCAGAGGACCGTGCGGGCCTGACGTCATCATTGCGGTTCTCCAGCGGTGGTTTCGTGTGGTCCTATATAATGTGGAATGTCATGCAGGGTATTCCCTAGCAAATTTCTCAATTGTAACGATTTCGGCCTGCTGGTGTACATCGGAAACAATTCGTAGCGCAAGAAAGACAAACACAAAAGAAGACGAGAGACAACATACGAGTGCTCATATGACGTGTGTTGCCCTTTTCTCTTTGTTTTTTGCACTACAGTACGTTTCCTTGTCAACTTTCACCTAAGTTTAGACATATACAAGGGCGATATATGACGGCATGAACAAATGCATGTTAATTGCTATTGCATGGGATAAGTCACACACGTTTTGTGTCCTTCTTAATTGCTTTGTTGGGCAAGAATAACTAACTAAGTTTTGAAAGAACAAAGCTGGGGAAAAATTCCGATGAAAAAATTGTATATGCGTTTGAAGAACATTTAGTACGCTGCTTCCAACTTTCTACTTTCTATCTATTAGGTACTCATGCTTCCACTTTCTTCACACACTAAACACCACCCGCAACAGATGCGTCACTTTACGGAGGAGCTTTGCGCGGACCCTCACCATTTCGCATGCGTAATCATGCGAATGACAATTAAATTTTACAGCTGGATATATCGGAGCACAGGCGTGCTAGAAAAAATCTTCCAACTGAAACTGTGTACAAACACCACTGCCTACATTTTTTAAAAATATAAACATGCCAACTTACCACAGCCAGTAAAAAGTTGATTATTAAATTTTTAGTTATTCGGGCTACTGACATCGATAATTATAATTATCGTCTAACTTTTTGTCCACCTGGTAGCTTAACTTATTTGCACAAGTGGTTCTCGCGTGCCTTCGAGCACCTAGTTAAAAAAACGTATAGCTTAACTTTGAACATCCAGTACATACCAGATGGCATGCCTGCTTGCGTGCCGTAATGCAGCGTTACCTACACATTCCGTCTATCAAATGATAGGCTTACCTCACAGCGGTTCATGATAGCGACTAGCAGATGCAACGGTTATCCCTTGCGCCACCGCAAGCTGCAGGTGCGTTATCGCACAGCCACCAGCATCGTTGCTGCCCTGTCATCAAAAGCTATGTTCGTTATCGCGCGGAACAGTAGGGATAACTGCATGCAATCACAGCACGCAGTGGCTTGCAAGCGAGCATATTTCATGGGACTATTTTTTTGTATTTTGTGTGAATATGTAGTATAGTGAAAAAAAAAACACTACTAATACTTTTTTAGCATTGCCATTTTTTGGGGTGTGTTCGTAAACGGAACTCGAAAACATATTGAGTGCAAACAAACAGGGACGTAAGAGAGACGACAACACAATACGCTATGCTTTATATACCCAGTTGTTTAGACTTGCGTACCAATACCAACAGAAACATAGGTATTACTAACACTAGCACAATGTTTTTGTCTCTCTTACAGCCCGACTGTTTGTTAGCGCTCAAAATGGTTTTGAGTTTCACTAATAATCATTTGGTGGAATGTTAGAAGCTGTCCAATCATATGAAATGATCTGGAAATTTTTATCAAGAGTTCGTTCAGTGATCTTGCCCAATTAAGCTGTTGAGCAAAACAACAAAATTTGGCACATCTCACGTATCATGATATGCGAAGCATGCGCAGGGAAACAGACTGGAGTTTATTTTTTTCAGCAAAATGTTGTGCAATGACGTTAAAGATATGTACATATGGTGTGCACACAAACATATGTTGAGTAGTCACATGTTTTATATAACCAGTTGTTTATAGTTGCGCAGCAATACCAACAGCAATTACCAGCACCAGGAGTGCTTGAGTGTATGGTAGCATTGGATAGTGCTAGGCCAACTTCAGAGGATCGCGTGTCTACAAAATTAGCCAGCACTGCAACCACAATTGACGTTTCACCAACGTTACACCTGCATAAGTTCTTTTTTCAAAGCAGTTGCGAGACCTGGTGTGGCTTTGCGGTGGAATATGTATACATGATTGCCACGCAGACTGCTTAAGTTCGATTCCTGCTATAGGACTATAATATTTATTCTTCACATTCGATGAGCCAATGATGCCGATATTCGTTTTCTTAACGTTCTCTCAATTATATTACGAATGTCTGTTCTCGTCATTCCTGGGCAGATATAAACTGAAAAACACCTGTGTCGTATACCTGCATACCGCGGTCCATGATATACGGATATGTGCCACACTTGCCTGGAGGAAAGGGTTTGATGACGTACGTGACGGGATTTTGACGATATACATGTCATGACCAGCCAGTTATATCGGTCAAATCGTCCTACTTTTCCATACTAATTTTGGTATACACCAAGCTAAGGAGGTAATCACGAGTGCACCCAGACGTAAGCTAGTAGATAAATAGATAGATAGATAGATAGATAGATAGATAGATAGATAGATAGATAGATAGATAGATAGATAGATAGATAGACAGACAGACAGACAGACAGATAGATAGATAGATAGATAGATAGATAGATAGATAGATAGATAGATAGATAGATAGATAGATAGATAGATAGATAGATAGATAGATAGATAGATAGATAGATAGATACGAATACAGAAACGCTCAAAATGCGTGCAGTACGCTGAGAAATGCTTCACATTTAAAATAACATGACTTATTTCGTATAGTAGTTCGCAAGATGTAATTGGTCGCATTGGTATAGATTTGATAAACGTGGGCATATTTTAGAATCCTGCCAAGTGTTAGCTGGGGCACCCTTTATATGGGAATGACAGAACGCTGACTACGTTAGGCAGCTTTTAACGCGATAGCGTCAAAGAGCTCGTTTCGCAGAGATTTCGGCGGCGGCGTCGTCATCGTTGGTTGTGAGCGAAAAATCATCTTACGCGTGAGCGAAAAAATCGAGAATGATGCAAATAAAATAAATAAATGATAAAAAAATCCTGGAGCAGACAGGGGACCAACCCAGGGTTGTTTGGGTTTGCGTGGCAAGAGAACGTTCTAGCACATGGTCATGCCCCCTTTTTTTATTTAATGCTTGAAATCATCCCTAGTTATGGTAAACTGCGGTCGTCAGAAGTCAGGCAAACACACACAACCGTCCAGAAGGGGAAGCCACTCCGGAACGGGATCAAAAATCTCAACAAGACTGCGCACATGTCTCTGCATGTGAAAAGAACTTCCTCTGCTTGGAAATGCAGTGAAAGTAGCTTTCATGCTTCACGAACACATGCGTCCTGTATACATGCTTCACAATGCAACCTGAAATATTGCAGTAATAATGCGTCGTACAGGCGTCCATTGCCAACGGGCGTCAGAATATGTGACTATCTTATATGGATGCTTGGTTGAAAGCCGGCAGGTACCCAACTACAAAAGGCACACACGCTACTGCGCCTATTCCCTTGAAGCCACGTAGTGAGTGCATAGCAAACTCGAACAGGTTTCATGCGCTATGCACAACAGAATGTCGCTATCGCGTTCAACTCCTAGAGGCGAAGCTTTGTCCCCTAATTTTTGCGTATACCCAAAGCTTGGCCTTATTGTTTGCTGCCACTGTGCATGCGTGATGTGCTAACCTCCCGCGTGCACACACGTCATATTTCAACAATAGATAGCTTTACTTTAGCGCGCGCAACGCAAGGAAAACAACGCACGGCGCGTTGAGTACGCAACGGCTGATGCTGTGCGCCGCATCTCGGAGGCAATGCTTTAGATCATATGGTTCAAAGTAGGGACAAAGATTACGCCTCCCGTAATTTTATTGACAAAAACATTGTGAAATTCATTTTAACGTACTATACTTCAGTTTTGCATTCGCACTGTGGATTCGCACTGTGAAATCACCCCAAAATGAAAGCTTCTCTTTTGGTTCGCACAATTTTCATCTCGTTTCCGTCTCCATTTATGGCTCTCTCACTATCTGCGCATTGGCCATGGCTTGAAAACATCAATCGCTCGTCCCCCGCTGACAGCTGTTGCGCGCCCAAACGAGGTTCTGACCATCAAGCTAGCACGCCGACGTGTCTTTTCAGACAGCAGCGCATACATATGCTGTACCTAGTGCTGGGTAACAACAACAACAACAACAACAACAATAATAATAATAATAATAATAATAATAATAATAATAATAATACTATAAAGCTCGAGAATATTGTCACGGGGTCGTGACGTGGACGAATGGAGCAGATTGCCGGTCGAAGAATAAATTGTTCATTTCGGGTGAGCTTGTGGCCACGTAAAAGGAAAGTCACAATACAGTAAGACACTGACACCGATAGCGGCGAGCGGAGCCTCGGCCGTTTATCAACTGACAATTGATTTGATTTGTGGGGCTTAACGTCCCAAAACCACGCTATGATTATGAGAGACGCCGTAGTGGAGGGCTCCGGAAATTTTGACCACCTGGGGTTCTTTAACGTGTACCCAAATCTGAGCACACGGGCCTACAACATTTCCGCCTCCATCGGGATCAACTGACAAGCGGCGAAGTGTGTCGGCATTTATAGACTTGCCATTGAACATTACAGCGTTATCGCTAGCGGTGACGTAGGTTCCAGAATAATCTGAGATGTTCACGAAGTGGGTGTAATTTTAACAAAGTGATCTACTGCAGTCCTGAAGCTTC